TGCCTCAATTATCCTATTCAATTTCTTTTCTGACAGATTCTGTTTTCTTCTGAGTGGTTGAAAAAATGCTGTGAACTGCCCGGCTTTTTATGTAATGCAGCTTGGCTCATAAACAATGTCAATTTTCATTCTTGTAAACTAACCTCTCAGCCAAAGCTATGCAAACTGTCACTAAAAAGCTGTTCAGTTAATGGCTTTATTTTTTTTCTTAACTAAATTTAATTAATTTAGCTTTCTGTTCCACTCTACCTCCAAAACCCTCAAAAGTTAATAATGTGTGTTGAAAAAGCGAACATAAGCTTAAAACTGCTTGGGTGAAAACAAGTAGCCCCTAAAACTAAATCATGACTTGTATTGCCATCGAAATTGTAACTTCACTTCTGGGAAAGTGTAAGACTGAGAGGAAAAGGGATTCTGAAACAGCTGAATTACTGTGTAAGCCGATTAAAGCAATAGGGCGTAAGCCACTGATACTTGCAATTTCAATAACTGGACTCATCAAAAATCCAGAGCCATTTATGTGAAATTAAAAGCCAAATTTAGATAGCCAATAGAGACAATACAGAGTGTCTGTGAATTTCCTGCTAATGGCAGCTGGTGGCTGTTGGTAATGAGTGGTTTGGATAGAAAAAAGCCACAGGATCCTTGTACAAGTACTAAGTGAGTCATCATTAAAGACAGCACCACACAAACTGCTGGGGAAAACAGCTGCTAACCTCACAACCCGCAGGTAGTACTGCTACACCAACTGAAAAACACCAAGGATCACCACATCGGCCTTCTAGGAACAACATCACTAGTATAAGGAGACTTCCTACAACAGATAAAACCAGGAAAATGGCATTTTGTAAGCAGTGAAATTCCTAAGGCTCAGAATGCCCTGATGCCTGAGATGTCCTGTTGCTGAGGGCTACCTCCTGAGTGCTACCTATGCTCAATTTTGAGAATAGGTAGAAATTTACAATCACCTTTCTGAGACGCTTAAAATGGAACATCATAACCTTGCTATACCAAACACACAGTTATGAATAGCCAGAAACTGGCCTATCCAGGAGTCCTTATAAAAAAAAAATAATCTTATAACAAAGAATAGAAATCCAGGTGTTGAATATACTGTGTATACACACTGCTATAGACCTGTTGAAACCTTGCTTTATAGGTAGTGGCACTACAGTTTGTGTGCAAACACCTGAAAGAAATGTTTAGCCCAGCACTATCTTCCTACTTTAAGAGGATAAATTAAGAAATGAAAAAGATGTTGAGATCTCTCCATGGTAAAACATTATCGTTGCCTAGCCAGGATTCCAAGTAAGAAAAACTTTAATAGCAAGTCTTAAAGAAAATTGGATAGTTACTAAAACACAAACCAGACAATAACAACAAAACAAACCTGTGAACTTTGAATGTGTTTTCGTTACTAATACTTAAATAGCAGTTAGATTTTATACCTGGAATAACTTTACTAGCAGTCTTTATCTGAAGCAATGCAAACGGCTACTTAAGATACAAGAAATACTGCTTTGTTTCTTGATTAATTTGTTCTTCCATAAAAATCAAAACATCCATCAGGTCTAAGACCAAACCCCCCAAAATTTGCGTATGGATGGCAAAAGATACTATTTTAATGGCACAATTTGGCCAGCTTTCCTGTCTTTAAACCAAGGAACGATAGCTGTCTTTTACATAGTCAATCTAGTTGGTTCATCCAGTACAAAATCATCTAATGTTGTTAATAAGAGATCTGTAGTAACATACAATTTGTATATCTGAAAGTGTAGAAAAATCCTCAAAGAAAATTTGGATTTGGGCCAGCAATGAGAACAGCAAACAGGATACAGCAATACAATGCAATAAATCTTTCCACAAGGAGACAGATCTACTAGATCCTAGACTTTTTACTGTCACTGTTCCCAAGAAACCCTATAGAAATCTGTAATTTGAGTAATCAGTGGATACACACAACTGATGCATCTAAGGATGGACTTGCAGAAATTAAGGTATGATGTTAAAAATGCACAAACCATCTGCAAACTACAAAAGACATATGACAATATAGGATTACTGAAAATAAACCTGCCCCCTGGATCTCATAAAAAATATTTGACAGACTGAGAGAATAAAAATGAAATTATTTTATCCACCACCAACCCCTCCCATACACACACAAAACAGTAATAATTAAGCTAGGATAGTAGATTAAAATCTAACATTGACTCTTAATACTTCACTTTCAATCTCAGGTGCGATTTTACATATCCATTGCCTAACACTTGGAATGCCTAGCCTCAGCTTCTGGCACCAGCAGTTTGCCTGCACGTGGGAAGAAGCACTCCTTTTTTTCTGTACTATATGTATAAAATGAGAAAAATGCCACATTCTCTTTTCCTCTTTTTTCTTTTATTTTCTTAGGTGGCATTTTTACCTCAGTCCATAAACTATCTACAGCAGGAACAATCCAAATCACACATCAGATAATTAGATGCTAAATAATACATATTTAACCCTTGTTCATTTTAAATATCTTCCATTGAGGGCATTTGCAGGGGAGTTTAAAGCTGTTCACAGTGAACAAATAATGGTGTGATAAGTGATGGCTGCTTTTTCAATCAGGAGATTTGTTTCTACTTCAATTGTCAGCCTTGTTTCATTTTTTTTATTTTTTTATTTTTTTATTTTTTTTTATTTATTTTTTTTACAAAATGTTAGTTCGCTGAATATATACCAGTATATATCAAAGCTGAATTTTATTATAAATATTTGATATTTATCTATCCTTAAAAATATTAATGTAAAGCATATTGCACTAGCTTTTGCTAGGTTAGAAGTTTTGTGCAGTCTTTTACATTAGGAATTTCCAAGGAAACTAAAAAATATTAGAATACAGTAATGCCCAGACCAAGAATCTCAACAAGTCATGCTCAAAACCAAGTTGCTTTAAGCCTTTTAAAACTGCCCATCATTATTTATTTGCCATGTTCACAAATGAAGGAATTTTGGAAAACAGAATGAAATTAAGTTAGTAAATTTATTGCACCCACAAGCAAGTTATTTCAGTAGAAAACACTGAAAATGCTTTTATATAGTACCATGGTTTAAAGATTTTTCATGGGAAAGAGCTTACATTTAAATATATTAAAAAAAAGATCTTGTGGCAAAACATCATAAAAATAGTTATCCCTCAGCATCTCATACTGCAAGGGGTTTTGAATGACGTACATATGTTCAAAAACTAATCTAATGGAGGGCATTGCCCTACCAAAACTAATGGGGTTGGAGGAAGGAACTATGATCACTCTTCTGACATTTGGAAAGAAGCACAAGTAAACTTCACCTCCCCTTCCTCCCTCTCCCGCCAGTACTGCCGCTGATCCAGAAGCAGCTCCCTGTCCTTCTGGCCAATCTCGTTTCTCAGCTTTGAGGAACAGAGAGATGAGAGGCCCTGCACACTGGGAACGCAACGCCCCTGCACAGGGACAGGGATGCTTCCAGGCACAGGGCACGGGTGTGTGTGGCAGTAACTGAGGGGCCCTTCTTCGGCCTCGAGGCCTGGCAGTGCAAAGCCCTGTGAGGAGAGGCTGAGTCACGGCAAACCCAGACGGCCAGCTGCATCTCCAGAGAGGAGAGCAGAAGCAGCAACCACACTGCACTGCAAATCCGTGATGCCAACACTAAAGCAGGGAAACGCGAGGCTAGCTTTAAGCGAGTGTTTCATTTTCTAAGTGTTTGATTTCACAGGCTAGCTAACAGGACCATTCCTGATGTCCTTCCGTCTCAGAACACGGAGCTTTACCAGCCAAAACGGTACTGCAGTCTTTCCTGATTCGTTCCCACCGTTCAGATCCTGTGGCACCAGGACAGAGAGCTTCCTGGTGAGCGACAACAATGCCACCAAAAAAAAAAAGTCAGCACAAGGACTGCTTTTGTTTTCATTCTGACAATAAAAAAAAGTAGAGTGAGCTACACATTTTGATAAAATAACATCAAATACTGGCCACTTAGCAAGCTGCCAGCAGGACTACCACAGGAGATTTTCTGTGTGTGTTATATACTACACGCATTATACACTTTGCTTATGACCAAAGTCACACAAAAGAATGGCAAACAGGTTGCCCGGTAGCTATTATTCCTTGAGATACAGAACTGAACAAATCCTGTCAAACATTGGCTCTGATAAAATCAAGAGCAATCTCAAAGAAACATAAAGCATTATGACCCTTCCACATTGCTGAATGAGCAGATGAACTCTGAAGCCAGAAGAGCAGTACCATGTAACTTTCCCACTGAAAAAGCTTACCAAAGATACTTAAGAGCAAGACTGATAATAAAAGGCAACTTAAATTAGACATCACGTGTGCTGCTCCTGGGATTAAAGAGGATAAAATGTTTTCGAAAATATTTGCACAGAGTGACTTTCACGTGCAACACAAAGCTTCAGGAAGTTCTCTTCCCATGATCGCGTGTTTAAACATCAGGCTGTTAGGGTTACAGAGAACTAAGTGGAGTTTGCCATTAATCCACCTCTTTGGTTGTTTGCCTCTCATTCATTTGAGAGGAAATGGGGCAGTTTTAGCCACAGGAGAGGACACAGTTCAGTCTCAAAGTCTCAGCTGTAACGTTAGATGGAATCCTGGTACACAGACTGCTCCATACAAACAGGTGGGCACACAGCAACATTTTAGATGAGAAAATTGAAGGCATCGCCAGCAGCTACAATGTGGGGAAAGTTCTGAAGCAATTTCACAATGAAAGGCCAGTGGTCTGCTACAGGCACGAACAGAAGGCTCGCTGCAAACACAACAACGACGCCCCCCCGATGCAACCCGAGCAGAAAAAGTTTGGCCAAGAGACAGAGCACAGGTGCCCTGCAGCAGGGCTCGCAGCATGGCTGGAAGGGACCTCGCAGCTCGCCCGACCCCTGCTGCACAAAGGCTCCCAAAACGCGGCCCCCACCCCCTTGGGGATCCCCCCCCCCGCCCAGGCACGGCCGCCTCCCCACGCACCAGAAGAGCAGGTTGGCGCAGACGAAGCCGCCCAGGCTGCGCAGGGGCCGCTCCCAGCTGAGCGCTGCCGCGATGCAGCAGCCCAGCGCCAGCCCCGTCTCGCCCAGCAGCGCCGCCCCGGCCCCGCCCGGCACCTCGGCAACCGGCACCGGCACCGGCCCCGCCGCCTGCCGCCGAGCCTCCGCCCGCTGCCGCCCGCCGCCGCCGTCGCTCTCCCCGCCCGCCTCCGGCTGCCGGCGCTCCTCGCTCGCCATGGCTGAGGCTGAGGCGGCGGCGGCCGGGCTGCGGCTGCCAGGGGACGGCACCGGCGGCAGCCACCGGGGGCCTGAGGGAGGGAGGGAGGCGGGGCCGGGGCGCGGCCGTTACCCGCCGCCAACCGCCGCCAACCGCCGCCGGTGACGTCACCGCAGGCACGGGAGGCGGCGGCAGGTGGAGCGCGGGGCGCGCGTGCGCGGGGCCGGGGCAGGGGGGCGGCTCATGGGGGGGGGGCTGCAATGTAAATGATGGATGAAGCCTGTGGAGAAAGCGTTCTAAATGGCTGTGTCAGTGGAGCTTACAGCTATCAAAGCGTTCAGTCATTATTGTGACTGTTAGAATTCACACATTCAACCAATCTGATACATTCAAAACTTTTATGACCGTCTTTTTAATTGCTTGGGTAATGGCTCCTCTTTATACAAGGTGTCGCTATGTTGTCAAATCTCACATCTGGTAGAAGATTTTAGGTGCAACTGAGGAGTATTTCTGATCTAGCAGCTGGGCCAGAAGGCTGTTTCCAGTCTAAAATGTTGAATACGACCACCAAGTAATTCCAACGGTTTGTCACATACAATTATATTAATCATTTTAAAACCAATGAAAACTTGAATTAGGTTGAGGACAAAAGGAAGATAACTGCATTTAATTAAAGAACATTTATTAAATAGTGAAGGTATATTAAGCCTGCAATTTGGCAAAAGAAAAAGAAATATCGATGTTTATGTTTGCCTCTAGAGATCTCTGTTGTTTGGATTAAGGTGTGGATTCTGTTTTTCTTTATATTGCACTTCATTGATATTACCTGTTTGTGTGTGTGTGTGTGGTAACACAAAAATCTACCAGATGTGATTTTAAGCTGTTAAATGTTCAACACTAAAGCAGATATTAAGTGTTCTAACTAAGAAGTCTGAAGATCTTTTCTGCTTCTCAGAATAGCCTTCATGCAACAGGAAAAGGAGGACTGAGGGTGGAGTGCGACTTTCAATGTGTTTTTCATTATCAGCTACAGATGTCCATAGTTTCTGAAACAGCACAAAAATCCCTGTCCTATATTTTCTGGTTTGTTTCTTTTTAATAGGTTAAGTTAATATTTATTAGGGTGGGTTCTTCCCAGAAGTGGAGACAATAAAAGTAGAAGAAGTAGACTACAGAAGAACTGAGCAAGTATATATATAAAATGCTTTGTTCATCTTTTCAATTCTCTCCCAGCCTCCAACTGTCTTCTGGTCAGAAAATTACTTGAGCCCAGTATGGCTTGCTTATTTAGTAATTCCCTACGGGGTTTCTCTTCCAAATGCTCCTAGAGTAGCTCCTTGAATTCATGTTCTTAGACACAACAATATCCTTTATCAAGGAGTTACACAGGTGTGCTACCTGCTGTGTAGATTCACCCCACACCCCTTTTAAAAAATAAACAAACAAACAAACAAAAACCTTGCTTCCTGTCTGTTTTATTTCATCACAGGGACAGAGAATAAGTTAGTTTGAAAGGAATGTCTGGGAGACATTCGGTCTGCATTCTTACTCAACAGTTACATCAGGTCACTCCCTGTCATGCCCAGCTTAGTTCTGAACGTCTGTGAGGATTGGAGATACTACAGCATGCTCTGGGCTACCTGTACCAGTGTTTGACCACCTTCATTGTGAAGAATGCTTTTATCACAAAGAATTTCCTATTCAAAATTTCTCATGCTGCAGTTTTTGTTCTCTACCTCTTTATTTGCTGTGCATCATCTAAGAGGAGGAGGACTGCTCTGTCCCATAACCATACACTACATACTTTGCATGTGGATCATAGAATCATAGAATGGTTTGGGTTGGAAGAGACCTTGAAGATCATCATCTAGATCCCCATTCACCTTCTGTCCTCCAGAGTGAACAAGCCCAGCTCTCTCAGTCCCTCCTTCTACATCACATGCTGCAGGCCCTTGGCCTTCCATGGGCCCTCTGCACTCATTACAGGATGTCAGCGGGTGTCTTGTTTTGGTAGCCTGGAACTGAACATCGTGTTCCACGTGTGGTCTCACACATGGTAGAAAGAGGAGAAGAACCACTTCCCTTGTCCTGTTTATGACCCGTAGTTAGTGCATGATTATGGACTCTGTATCCCGTTGTCACCATGCCACTTCCTACCTTGCCTCTGTTTTGAGGCTGAAGAGTCATGTTTTAGTCATTCTTCATACAGTAGCAGTTCTATGGCAGTGCTCATCCTTGTTGCCCATCTCTGAAAATTTCTCAGTTCTAGTATATTCTTCTTGTCCAGTTCTAGTCACATCATCACTGCATTCAAAGTGGTGTGTTATAGGGTAATGGATTTAGGTTTCCTAGCACTGCTCTAAGGTGTGCTGATGTGCCTTTGGTTAATAATTTCTAGCATCTGATTTTGTTTTTTAAAACTGGTTCCAAATACTGAGTCGGTATTTTCCAGAAACTACTACACTGTCACTATTTTATCTCTTAGTGATAACAATCAGTTCAGAGCTTGTTGTTGTACAGTTGGATCTGAGATTGGGTTTCCCCCCACATCCCCTGCCTCTGCAGAACCCCTGCAGAACTTCAGTGGTGGTCTCTTCTCTATGTTGAGAGCGGACCATTTCCTCTTATTGTCTGTTCCCTATCTTACAGCCAACTATTCTTCCACATCAGAACTTCACTTCTTTTGTGGTTTCATAGCTTTCCTAAAGCCTTAGGCTTTAGGTTTTGCCAAAAGCTTTTTGGAAATCCACATGAAATAGTTTTCCCTCATGCGCAGGTCATTAAGGCCATCAAAGAACTCCAACACAGAGCTTTATTGTACAGTCTGTACTGCCTCTCCCCAGTAGATTATATTTCTCCAGGTGTCCACTAGTTATGTTGTTTATTTTATATTCCCTAATTAACATTAAAAGCCTTTAGTTCCCTGGATCACTTGAACTCTTTTTAAAGACTGGTGTCATACATGATGTTGATATACATAGAATGCACCTTTCTTTACTTCTGTTTCTGCCTGAAGCTTCATGCATGCTTTTGTGGACTTTCTCAGTGTTTACTTACCTCTGATATCTTTTATTGTTGCAGTTTAAGAGTAGAATAAGTTCTGAATTAATAACAGCCAAACAGTTTTTCTCCTTTTATGCGCACCCTCTTAGCCTTTCAGCCTCCAAAAGGTCGCTCCTCTATTGTGGAGTATTGTTGAAACTACATCCCAAACTGTTTTTTTTTTTGTTTTGTTTTGTTTTGTTTTGTTTTTTTTTTGGCTTGAATATGTCATAATGTTAAACAGGAAAATGTTAAAATTTGTCCTACATAATATACCACACAGTTAATGTCTGTCTCACCTTTTAAAGTATTTTACTTAGAAGTTTGTGTATCTGTTAGAGTGGCGGGCACTAACTGTCCTACTGCACCTTCATTCCCTGAGCAGTGTTTTAAATACATAGCATCCACTTCATTATTCCAGGTCTTGGGGTTCAGTACAGTGTATTTTGGTTGTTGTAACTAACTAATAGCTAAAGGAAATGCAGGGAAATTCAGAGACATAATTGCTAGAGTCTGAGAGAACATCAATCACCTTCCAGAAATGCTTTTAGAGACTGCCCTCTGCTGTTTCTCAGAACTGTCAGCTTTGCTGCTTGCTTTTTTTTTTTTTTTTTTTTTCGTGAGTAAAAGTATTTTTAAGTTTTGTGTGTCAAATGCAGCATAGTATATCTTGTCCAAAATCATACTCTACCGTAAGAACTTTAGTCACTAAAGTTGTTTGGTACTGTATGAAGATTGTATCTTGCTTTTTCTTACTGTCTCCTCATTTTTACTTCTCATGTGATCTAATAAATTTGTGATTAACTTTCCTTATCTAAAGAGGGACAATTTATGGGAGAAGTTAATTAAAACACAAACCTTAACACATTGTTATCAGCAGGATTATGGTGTTTAGAATGCTTGTGCTGCCTCCGCTGGCTTTTTCAAGTTACACTAACCTGGAAAAGAGAGCATTGGCTGGGAATGAAGAGATCTTCACTCCAGTATTCCCATTGTCCTGTTGCATGAGAAGATTGTATTGCCTCCTTGTGTCTTCTTGACCTTTTTTTTGTCTTTTCTGTTTGATTGAAGTCTTTACAGATTGAAGTCTTTACTGGCCTTATAATGTGTGTTTGCACAGTGCCAAGTGTAATAAGCAGGGTGCAATGTCGAACAGATTTCCCAGGTACTTTCCCAATATAAATAACGAAAACCATGAGAACTTGTAATTTACAAATCAAAGCTGTGGTTGATTTCTAAAACAAATCTTAAGAAAAGTCTGTGCTTGCAAAAGCTTGTAAGCAGCCTTAAAATGAAATGCTTGGTTGTCTGAGGTTATGAGTCTGCTCAGGGGATACATAATTATGCTGGATTGTAGTAGATAATGTTAGTTGATAGGATGAAATGAAAACTTGGTTCTTTTAACACCATGTCTGCATAGATGTATATTTGTGGGAAGAAATACATTAATATGCATAGCATGCTAAGCAAAATAAAAGTTTCCCAATTCAGACTTCTCAAAAATACTTGTGTTACTCTGGAATGTTTCTGTTGGGCAGCTGGAATTCATGTGACTTACTGGCCTTGTAAGTTAAAACTACCAAGTGGTACAAGATTAAAAAAAAAATAAATAAAAAATTGACAATGTTATGATATGAGTGTTGATGCTGCTTCTTATCCAGAAATGTTAGTATTCGGTAGTGTTTTTTTCTCGCCACTAGGTTATGCTGCTTCTTAATGCTGGCAAACTCAAAGCTTTAACAGGAGAATCCAATAGTGAAGTAATATATGGAAGAACCATGCTTATTCTTCAGTTTTAGTTTTTCCTGTAATAGAGATGTTGGTCGGGATGCTCTGATAGCCCCGTGTCGTGGTTCCGCTCGAGTGGGCAGCCGAGCTCCACCACAGCTTCTCTCTCACTCCCCCTCCTCAAAAAGGAACCGGGAGAAAATACAATGAAAAGGGCTCAAAGATTGAGATAAGGACAAGGAGATCACACAGTTATTATTGTAATGGGCAAAACAGACTCGGCATAGGGAGATAGTAAGATTTATTGCTTA